TTTATTTATTGTTCAATGTTCATGTAATTTTCATAAAGTTAATTGCAGATTTGTCGTATCTAGAGTCTTTCTGCTGTGCTCTTTTTTCTTTTTTTTTCCTCTTTTTCAATTTCTTTTCGTTCAAACCTATGCACCAATGAATATGATTTTTGTCACATGGAGAAGTTTGTATTTTGATTACAGGTGTTATCTTATCCAATTCATTTTTGACCACGTGCCTGGCGAACGCAGGGGCACTCATATAGCAAAGGGACGAGCTACCCTCTATGCCGGATGCATGATACAAACGCAATTTCTTTTTCCCACCTGTGGAACTGGGCAGCCGACACTTGTGCTCAATGTCGGCATATGCAGCGTTGCCCCACTCTGTGCGTAATATCATGTCAAAAGGAAGGCTGTCCTCCACTAAGAGTGTCAGGGAGTACAAAACTTTTTCCACCTTTCCTCCTCCTTATCTCCTCCTCTTCCACTTCCTTCATCTTCTCTTCCTCCTCCTTCCTCAGTCTCTCCATTTCTTCTTCCAACTTCTTTCTCTTCGCCGCCTGCTCCTCATGCAAGGCCAACTTCTTGGCCTGCTTAATCAACTCCTTCTTGGCCTGGTTCTCTTTTCTCTCTTTAAGGACAGTGACGGCCTTCTCTTCCTGAGCCTTAGTGTAAGGGGTGGTGCTCTTGCCACTACGCGTGTCAACCATGGTGAAAGGTGTACAACCAAGAATCAGTTCCACTCCTCACCACTTAGACTCACACCCCCGACTGACTTACTTAGGGCTGACTCAATCTAAGGACCATAGAATCTTAACAAGATCCTGTCAACTAGGGTCTCTAGCCTAGACCTAAACTAAGGCTGTCACTACAGGTCTTACTGCTGATCAGGAGGCATTTAAGGAGATCCCCCGTTACTCCTCAGGAATTATTTAACGTTGCAAACAGGACGACGCGATCAGCAAGTCCTCTCAAGGCTTAGACAGCTTGGTGTGCAGCCCACAGCTTGGATTTTGGGCCTACTGTGCCACACAGAGCAGCCCGCCGGTATGTACCGGTCTTTGGGAGAGTTCGTGTCCTACGGGGCAATCGAGTCGTCGGACACGGCCTTTAGCCCTACTCAGCCCCTGTGGGTTTGGTCAACAAAGCTCTATGACCTCATTCACAGAGGTCCTAACACGTGGACAGAAGAGACTTACTGCAGAAAGAAGAGACAGACAGACTCAGCAAGTACCGTGGGGTGAGTGCACATCCATAGGGCGAGGGGATAGGCTGAAGGCTTGGCGAGAATATACCAACTCCAGCTTGCTCAAATTTGTGGTCAACAGCCCCGATGAATGTTGGTCAACGCTTGGTCAACTCGTCGGTCAGCGCCTTGGTCAACGCCAAACAGCTCGCCGGTCAACTCTTCGGACAATGTCTTGGTCAACGTTGGTCAACCCTTCGGTCAACACCTTAGTCAACCCTCGATTCGGCTATCGCTGCGGCGACTTCCTTCTTCACCAACCCTCGTTTATCTTTCCGCCACCTTTCTTCTTCCTCACTTTCTCTCTGC